CGTGGGTTTGCATCCCGTTGGCGCGAAAGTTTTTGCTTCGTCTCCTGTAAGAGCTTTTACTGATTTTCGAACTTCGGTCCAGCAGAGCAGCAGATCAAGTACATCAAGTATATGACATACTCGATCGAGTATGGATTTGGTCACTATCTGCCCTCTCTGAACTCATTACCCATCCGACAATTCGAAGTTTCGGCCAGAAACTCGTTCCTGGGGGTATTTTAACCCCTGCCCACGAATATCCCATTCGTTTGGCAGAAAAGACGCTTGCCACCTTTCATGTTGATGTGGTCATCAACTGAACGAGACAATTGATCGTTCTCGCAAACGGATGTGATATTTTTGCTCAGAAGGTCAAAATACCCCCAGAAACGAGTTTCTGGCCAAATTGTGATTCTGGCCAAAACTTCGAATTGTCGGATGGGTAATGTGTTCACAGAGGGCAGATAGTGATCAATCCATACTCGATCGACTACGTCATATACTTGATCTACTTGATCTGCTTGCTCTGCTGGACCGTAAACTCGGAAGATTCAAAAATTAGAGTAAAAGCTCTTATAGGAGACGAAGCAAAAATTTTCGCGCCAACGGGATGCAAACCCACGAGCATTTGGCTTTGAAGCGAGACCATTACCACTAGGCCACTATGGCACTGCCCAACGCTCGTAATCAGCATTCGAGACTATCGATGTACCTAGGTCTCCATTCAAAGTTCCATGGGAAGTTCAAACCATTCCCTTGTAGGTGTCCTAGCGCTCATTACGATGAAAGGATCACCACAAGATATCCTTCACACGTTCTCTCAGATACCTCGCGATACAGAAGGGCGCGACCTATACTCCCTATATAATCACATGTTCGCATTGGCTCGTTCCAATCGCTATCCTCCCTCTTGTTATTCTATTGAAGGGTTTCCTGCTGTGTCTCGATCTGAGCCACACGAACACCCTTTGTCCCGATGCCAAAGAGGAAACCACGATCATATTTTCATAAATCTAATCACCCTTTTTTCGCCGCTGATGCATTTCCCACGTCACCAATGAAGCCGTCACGCTAACCATGCTTTGTTTACGCAAGGGTGAGAATCGAATAACAACAATGTAAGACTGCCTCAGCATTCAGTACTCGCACGGATTTTGCCTGCAAGAGCTCCGCGACAATGAAAAACAAGAACTTTCCCAAGAAAGAACACTATTTTCTCCAGGCTATACTCAAAACTCACAAACATTTTGCAACTACGGAAATGAATGAGACCTAGCCCGGCCATCATTCGACCCTGTACCACCCGCGACCTCACTCGCGAAGGATCATTTCACGAGAGAGGCTGATGTTTACTTCGGTACGCCTATCCATTCCATCGCATAACCGGAAAGCTATGGCTGTGACAGAACTCGTTCTAGTAATCCATATATCACAGACCGTGGTAAGGGACTTAGTTGTCCAAACATCCATCTGAATCGTCATCGTTCGTCTTGTATGGACTACTCCTCTCTAATGCAAATTCTTATAACCACATCCGTAAGCTGCAGCAAAGGGAAGCGAAGGACAAGCCCCCATGTGAAATCATTGGAGACACAGAGCGGCCCGAATTGACGGCACAGCACTCAGATGGCTGGTATCCTCACAAATTCCTTGATCCGGTTACGAGAGAATTTGGAGATCAAAAAACCGTTGGAGAAGAGGAAAATCTGACAAGTGAAGAGTGTCAGTGATCTGTTGAGATCCGCGAACGGTGCCGCTCAAAGAGCATGAAGTGGCTCACTACAAGACACAGGCAATTGATCTCCAGACGGATATCGCCAGTGACCGGGAAAAGTGGATTGAGGCTAGCTAGGCAGGTCAGCCGCGTGGGAAGGGGGATACACATCAACTAGGGGCAAGTAGTCCCGGCGTGAGCCGGGCTCAACGTTTAAAAAGTTCTAGACACAGGCGCGGCGTGAGGCCAGTAGGACGGCATGTCCCGGGTGAAACGGGGCCAACGTTCAAAGAAGTTTACGAGCAGCCAGTAGCGGAAGGCCGCGCCGAGATGGAGGAGAAAAAAAAGCATAATTCGGGCAGTTGCAATATAAAGAGAATATTTTGCTTATCTTGTAGACCTCGACGTGTGTTCTTATCGACCGATCGGATTCATCCATTGATTTAGCACACGAAAGATAATGACTACCAGTCGATGGGCGCCTCGCTCTTGTCTGAGGCTTAGCTTTTCACCGCGGGCGCCGCGCACTCCATGCGTTTTTTTAGCGAGCAGGATTCGATCCAGTCCCCCTGCCGTGCCATCCAGAACCCGTCGTGTTATCCACTGCGCCATCCGATCCGTTGGCAGTGGTCGTGAAGGGAGCGCTGACAAAACATCACTCTTGCGTCGGTGCATGCCAAGTGTGTTACCACATGATACTTACATCTTGACTTTAATCAAATCTATTTTGAGGCCTGATTAGAGACCACCTCATAAACTATGCATGCTCGAAGTTACAAGCAGAAAGGAGCCCATTAAGATTGTTAAAACCGCCCATTCTTGTCAAATTCTTTTCACTCAGTTTTTGACCTACCCAGAAACGCATAGCAAAAATGAAACCCATTTTTGTGATCCTTGTGTGGACCCTAGAACAAGCAACAAACCATTTCCAGAAAGCGCGCCACGACCTGAAAGACCTCCCTTGTGAGGTTAGCAGCAGGTCAGCCGCTGGGAAGGGGATACACATCAGCACTGGGTAGAAAGTGTCCCGGGGTGAGCGGGGCCAACGTTAAAAAGTTGTGGATCGGTCCCAGAGTACGACAGACATAGTGGAAAGATGAGAAAAGAGCAAAGGGGAGAAGGATGGAATGGTTGGACGCGCGCGCAACACACACCACACACACACACACACACACACACACACACACACACACACACACACACACACACACACACACACACACACACACACACACACACACACACACACACACACACACACACACACACACACACACACACACACACACACACACACACACACACACACACACACACACACACACACACACACACACACACACACACACACACACACACACACACACACACACACACACACACACACACACACACACACACACACACACACACACACACACACACACACACACACACACACACACACACACACACACACACACACACACACACACACACACACACACACACACACACACACACACACACACACACACACACACACACACACACACACACACACACACACACACACACACACACACACACACACACACACACACACACACACACACACACACACACACACACACACACACACACACACACACACACACACACACACACACACACACACACACACACACACACACACACACACACACACACACACACACACACACACACACACACACACACACACACACACACACACACACACACACACACACACACACACACACACACACACACACACACACACACACACACACACACACACACACACACCACACGCACACAACAGTAAAGGCGGGACACGCCCGAGATGGACGGAGAAAAGTTTGAAAAACCGGAGAAGTTTGAAACCATAACTCGGCAGTGCAATTTAAAGAGAAATAATTAATCTTGTAGACCTTCACTGTTGTTCCTTATCACCATCGATTCACCATTGATTACCACATAACAAACTATTAGGTTGTCCCAAAAGTTCTGGGACACTTTCAGACTTTTTTCCGAATTAAGTTTATTCCAGTGGGAAGCAATTTTGATCAGCTATATGTATGTCACCTTCATTGGCAACTTGTTGCCAATCACTACGCAGTGTGTGGTTGCCCTGCTTCCAGAAGCCTCTTAGTTCTGTGGCCAGAAAGGCAGCTGGGTCATTTTCGAGGTACTATCAAAAATCGTATTTTTTTACCAAGAAGATGGCCGCTGTGGGATTAGTTTGGATGGTTGTCGGAAAGAGCTAAGTCAGGGCTACACGAAGACTGTGGTGGAATTCCCCAGCTAAGCTTCGGGATCTCGAGCAGTGTCGTTTTCCAAATGTTTGACCCCGAGGTGTGGTGGAGTAGGCAAACATTGCTCGGTTTTGGGACCAAATGGTAGAGATTTTCCACCCCACTTTGCAGTTGATTACAATAGGGCTCCCTGGTTACCATAGCGTTGGAAGGAGGGAATTCCGTTTCGAGAGCGGAGAAAGGTACCCCACCACATACACAGCCTCACCGCCCTACTGGATTGATAGGATTGCGCGATCGGTTCTGCCCTTTCTGGGGGATCTAGCCGCTGGCGCTCCCAGGAGTGATTCACCTAGAGGCACCCACTCCATATCCAGTTACAGTGCTGTTCAACCAGCCCGTACAGCGGAAGCGGGAGAGAAGTTGTAGACAGTACCCACATGTGCTCCCCTTGGAGTACTGGTCAACTCATGAGAAAAATTTTGATCGAACTTCAGAACTTTTCTAAGGGAGCGAGGCCTTCTCTCATTTGTGCTTTGGGACCAGTCAAGTGTAAGGAATAGATAGCAAGTTGATTTGTACGTATTGGTTTTAATCAAGGAACACAGTAGGTCCAAATCCAAGGCAGGTGGCCTCCTTGGACGAAGTTTTTCACCCGGATAGAAGTCACTAAAGCAGAAGCAATTGAGCCATTCCAAAGCCGTACTGTGGAAGCTAACATCAAGATCTAAATAAGGGAAATGCAGCTTATGGCTCAACCACA